ATGCTGCTTGGCCTGCTGTGTTCATCCAGCTCCACACCTTGTTATCTGAGACAAATGGGGCCTCGGTTTTGTGTCTCTTCTGAAAGTTGGTATCTCTGACAGTGTATTACTCTATGTACTGCTCTAAATCATCACCGGAGACTGTTACCCTTAAGCCTTGGAGTGGGATTTTAACTCAGCTGACAGTACTATCAACTGAGCCATAGTTAATGTGGAACAATATTGTGGTGTGAATTTGTCTTGTAAACTGATCTGGCATAAATCGTACCTTTTGTAAAATTCATGTAGAGAATAACCTTGAGATTACCCTGATCTATTAACCTCGTAACTTTTCTTTTACAAAAATTCAAACTCGTTTTTAAGACAACTTATCTAGACACTGTTGTTTCTTCTTTATGTACTGTCAGAACGTAAGAAGTGAGGGTGGACCGTCAAACTTGTTCCACTGTTCAATATGATCTCGTCAAAACTTCTGCAGCTTTTCTACTTTCCCACTCTGTCTCCATATCCCTTACTTCCCCTTGGGAATACGTCATGTATTTTGATATAGTACCTTTAGTTTTGACTGTTTAATATTTTTCCCTGATGTGACTTTAATCAGTAACGTCTTAATAAAATACTCTTTCCTGTGTGATTTTTACCTAAATAACTAGTCTGCACTGATAAGTTTACATAACTATCTGAACCATGGCTTGAGCTTGCCACCCTATTTGATGTTCTCATTAAATGATGTGCCAGGACACTGGCTTATGGCCTGCTAAATGTGAAGTCCATTCCAATGGAACAGCTCTTTCTTTTCAGGTACTGGTGCCAGTTCCCCTGAATTAAAACACTCATCTTCCACAGCACTGTTTTAGCAATTCATTTAAACCTCAAATCTGCTTGAACCTTCTCCAATGTGCAAGTTGTTCACGTAGCAATTCACCCTATTGAGGTTCGCTTTTTAATTTTATCCAAGCTACTCAAACATCCTGAAAATCTCATTCCTTCTCCTACCTATATCATTGGCTTAAATGTGGGCTACTTTCTCCTCCTCCTCCTCCTCCTCCTCCTCCTCCAAGTTTTCTAGATGTGAAGCCATAGCATGAGCCTAAGTCAGCTTCGCAGTGCTTCACCTTGTTAAGAATGCAAGATGAGGTCCTGTTACTCTTTCACAGTGGCATCTCTTACAATCCAATGATGGATGTCAAGCAGATGGACCTTTGGATTTCTGACTCTGACAATTATCTAGTCAATGTTGGAAGGTGGATGGTCGATGGATACAAAACAGTTCTGTATTCACTATCTTCCTTACTCCCAGTATGAAAGGTCCTTTCTGATAGGCAATCTCTTACTTCCCAGTAGACTTGTAATTTTTGCACAAGCTAATTTGAGAGTAACACATTTGGGTTGAATAATAAGTCAGTTTATCATTGATAGTTGCTCTGGGAGGGGCATGTGATGCCAAAATTTCCTCCTTGATCTCTTGGAATGAGATAAAATACACTCTCTGACATTGCAGTTTAGATTAAAAACTGCAGTTGTATTCATTCATATGCTAGGTGAAATAAAAAGTGAGGTTTGGCAGGATTAGACCGCTTGTACGATGTCACAGTACCTGCAATTTATAGCAGCTCTCGGTTGTCCACCATAAAAAGTTTAATGTCAAACTGAGTCCTTCAGTATACTTAACAGACGCAAACCAGATCAGGAAGATCCACAATTAGTCAGAACTGTTGATTCACGAATCCAAAGCTCCCACATTTTTCTTCATTAATTTTTTGTAGACCAAAGTGACCTTGCTGCGATACATGAGATCTCTCCACCCTGGGTAAAACATCCAGTACAGATAATGCTTCTCATCTGGAATGGTTGGTTACTAAGCAACTTGTATAGAAGTCAGGGAACACCCTTTGAAGCAGTAATCGCCTACTAGCTAGAGAAGTGTATTTTCTTTGTGTCTATTTTTTCCCCCCCCCTCCCACCCAAAAACATGTCACATAAGTGACTGTTTCAGACACCCATTGGACAGAACCGTTTCTAATCACTATGATGTATACTACACTTTAATTGTTTTTGTATCTGTTGCATTATAAAATGCACCTCAGTGTGCCCAACTTTTGGTTTTTGTGTATCTTGTGATTGTTAAACGTATCAGCTAGGTTTTGTGTTTATCTAGAGCAACATTCTCAGATGGTAGAACTGTATGTTTTAGTTTGCATATGTAAACTTTCATATTTGTACAGTACATGAATACAACTACCATGCACTAAGATATACATAATTCTGTACAGTATTTGTGCTAGCCATATGGAATGCAGCATATTGTGTACTATCAACTCTAGTGCAGCATAACCTATCTTCAGTGTCAGTGCCATATCAATGCTGCATGTGATTTTGGTGTACGGAGGCTGGGTTTAAGATCATTCCCTTTGGGTACTTTTAGTGTCACATGTTGAAGGTACTGAATGCTTCCTTACAGTGCAGGGCAAATGTGTGGCTGAATCAACGTGCGTCAGTATTATTCATGGCAGATGTGACAGGAGTAGATCAGTTTGCTTACACAAAAGGGAATTCTGCCAGAATACCTGGGGGGAAGGAGGGTTCAGAGAAGTTTAAGGTAAGGACTTAATGAGTTTTTAGATATAAAGTACAATGGTCTCATTAGTGAAATCTTTTC